CTACAATCCATACAGAAACCCAATACGCAGATACATCCTAGATAGCTCAACAATAATTAAAGTAGTCTATATAGATATAAGAACACACTATAGGACGCTCACTAGACTATAGTGTAATCTCAGCCTGAATAGAAGGTAACATGCAAATCGCACGTAACGTGGTCGTGTATACCTAGACCTACCAAGGAACAACAACTATGTCCAGTTATCCATCCTAGGCGATATACGCACCCTAACTATGATCCTGAGACTAAAGCTCATATCACGGCACCATAAAGATATATATAAAAAATCAGTTCAAGGTATGACATTCAAATGTTTATTGACCTGTCATATATATAAGTAGGACTTAACTTTTATAGTTAATCCACCTTACATCAGAATAGGTAGGATTAGTGTTTTGAACTAATCCATCCCCATAATAGGTAGGTCTTAGTGTTTTCAACTAAGCCATCCTTAATATGTCACTGTCCCATACTGGTGCATATACATACATATAAGTAGGATTTAACTTTTATAGTTAATCCAACTTATTCCAGGATAGGTAGGATTTAGTGTTTTGAACTAATCCGTCCCTAGTATGCCATCGTCCCATACTGGTGCATACACACACAACCAATCCAACAATTGACAAAGCAGTACAAGCAGTTCATCAATTATAATCCAGAACCATATATTAATAATCAGAATCGTTACTGAACACATTATAGTGAAATTCTTAAACGTAAATTTCATAACAATCCATAAATCCAACAATTGATGCAATCTAAATCGTTAAAACATCAATTAACTCCATATAAGCATACTACAGTTTCAGTTAATCAATTATGCTTGTTTCAGTGCTTAAACATGATTAATACTGTTTAATCATACATACACAAAATGCTAGCATTATAGTAAGCAAATAAATCCTTCAAACAGTCCAGAAATTGATACCGTTTTAATAAATTAAATATCAATTTAATCCAAACCAAGCCTAGTTAATTGCCGGTATTCCATCACCCTTATAACACTGTTGAAATATGATTAAATATTATTAAATCATATGCGAAAAATTTGATAAGTTTCAGTAAGCAAACAACTTAACAAAACAGTGCTCAACATGTAGGCCTTTCTTTATCTTCATGTTGCTTCTTTCTTTAATACGCTAATGTGATAATGCTTCCTAATATTTTCATAGGTCCATCACAATTAATTACATCCTTCAGTGCAATTTAAATGGATTAAAAATACTCCGGACAGCCCAAACAGCCCCTAAAAAGACCAAAACTGTGCGTTTCGGGCGAGAGCAGGCTCTCATAAGTTGAGAGCCTTCTCCATTAACTTGGGAGCTTGCTCTAAGGAGTTGGGATTAGGCTCCATACTCCTTGGAGCCGGCTCCATCAATGAGGGAGCTGGCTCCGTCCTTTTGGGAGCCTGCTCTCTCACTCCCTGAAGCCGTTATGTGTTTTTGCTTCGTCTTCCTCGCCTCCGGCTATACTCAGGGCCTCTGTAATGTTTTACATACTTGTTCTAGTGTTCATTCAACGTCCCAGATTAATTATAAGACATCGACATACATTAACGATCTCAATTAAATAAAGTGTAAACTCAAAGACAGCAAAAACCAGTTAACAGAATTTTAAGAATTTGCAAACCAGTTTAATTCAACGAGTTTAAATACAGTTTAAACATGCATAAAAGATTTGTTTTAGCATTAATTAAACCCCTGGAGTCTACTTAGGCATGCACATAATACAGGTTTAGGGGAAAAAGTTAGAACAGAGACTTGCCTTTAGGTTTCCGTTCAAAACCTTAAACCGTCGTCTTTAATAATTCCGGCGACCTTACTGCTTTCACCGACCACTGTTGCTCCTAGTTCAACCCACGAGCAAGCCAATTTCCTCTCCTTGGTTCAGTCTTAGTCTAAGCCAAACCCTAATCTTCCTCTCTCTATTTCTCTCTGTTTCTCTCTGTCTCTCTGTATGCGTGAACAGGATTTATAAACCCTTGGCAGACGTATAAAGGTATATATATAGGCTTATACAAATACTAACCCTAATTCTAATTATATTGAGAGAAGGAAAGAAAAACTAACCTACTTACATAACCAAGTCGGCTACATCCGTGAAGAAAATAAAACCCTAAAACTATTAAAACATTTAATTCACTAATCAACATAAGCATATATCAAGGAAAACAAATAATTAAAACAAACAATTAAACAAAACATTTAAATAAAATAAAGAATACAATTAATTCAATTCAAAAGAACAACAAGTACAATTAAATAAACACCTAAATAAAACAATTCATTTAAATAACTTAATTTACAATTAATTCAAATAAACAAGCAAATAAACAATTAAATAAGTAAAAAAAAAAATACAATTAAACAATACTTAAAATGTCGAGACTATCATTTTAAAATTAGGGGTATTACAATATATGAGTTCCTTTGGCTTCACTTGACTGCTATTCTTCACATACTTTACAATCCTGTAGTAGTGAACTGTCACCTCGTTGGATAATGATTTCTCCTTGCCATGAGCTCAGCCTACTTTTGGTACATTGGAATGGAATGGCCATTCCAAATTTTCATCCCCTTTCTCATGTTTGGTAGGCCACAACTTGTCTTAAATGAACTAGGGTGTGTGTTGGGTGCGGGTATTTATCCACGCGTAGGACGTATCAAATTTTGGAACAAAAAGACAGATGAATAGTACTAAATATTCATAGTTTAAGATTTTATTTTATGTTTTAGAGTAAAATAATGTATTTAGATAATATAGTGTTAAGTTGAGGGGTTTGACATTTTCACTTGTTTTGAAATAATAATGTAATATAATTTAATTATTGGTTAAGTTTTTTTAGATACATATCCAAGTAAAAGTATTAGACACACATCCCCATATCCATGTCCAAGTATTGTGTGTCTGCGTACTTCATTTACTTTTGAATTAGCACTGCCATAAATGTTGGAATGATCATTTCTCTTCAACAGTTTATAAATACGCATTCATTCTATCAGAGAATCAAAGTAATAGTCATATAAGATATATTAAGACCAAAATGTGCTCACGCAATTATTAAATATAACATTAATATATGATATAATATGTATTATCCCCCTTTTTTTTGCAGAAACCACCAAAATTGAACTGATCGTTTGAGATCTAACGTCAAGTAGGGATTGCGTATCACATGACTGGGCAAAATTTTAAAATGACGTAATTGGCTCTCATTCTTGATTGTTAACCCCCCTGAACTATAAAATATATACGGAATGTCTATATTTGCAGTAAATTTATAAACCCCTATTTTACAAACCCTAATCACCATTCAACTCTGTGTGTGTGTGTGTGTTTATGTACAACACAACCAAGCAATGCTATGAGTCTGTGTTAACGATTTCCCAGTGTAGGTTTGCGCTTTTTTAAGCCGTTTCTTTTTTAAAAGACCCAATCATTTTGTCAATCTTCTTCACTTCTTCGTTTTAGAAACTGTATTCTCAAGCTCTAGTTCTTCATCAATGGCGTCAACCTGTATAATCAAAATCTCAAGGGTATATTTAATCACCTTGAACATACATACATACATACATACTCTCTCCTCTCAACCTCAATGGAGCCCTCAAACTTAGTACATTGATTCCAACCCTGTTAGGTCTTTAATCAAGGTGTCATGTTTCTTTCTTTATAGAAAGCAGAACATCGGGAAAACTGAAGTCCTTCTTCATGAGCTTAGCATAGAGAGCGTTTTCCAATTCTTAAAGAATTCTAATATTTGGGTGAAAATAAGTTTCAAAGGCTAGATTAAATAGCTCAAGGTAAAAAGAATCCAAGAAGATGATAAGACCAAATTAGATAGAAGGCATTGTAAATGCCAAATCTTTGAAGCAAGTAATGAGAGCATATATTCATATACATATGTGTGTGTGTGTGTGTGTGTGAGATAGAGAGAGAGAGAGGATCAAAACGATTGGGTCAATCTTGGATTCTTCAATCCCCTTTAGTGACTTCTGGTAAAAATTCTAAAACAGAATTTGAAGGAAGTTGAAAAAATGGGGAACAGTAGAGCTAGCTATGGTGCCTTTCACAGTGACTGGGCTTAGAGAGTGAGCTTCGTATAGTTGAAGTCTAAAGTGTTTGTTGGGCGTGAGATTTAGCGATATAACCGAATGCTTTTAACTCTAATTTCAATTTTATGGTTAACACCTCTTTGACGTCATGTCCTTGTGAATTATCATATATTTGATATCATATTATAACTTGTATTATTTCTAATTAGATAATTAAAATATATGTCACTCTATTTAATTTAATTTTTCTAAAAAATGGTAATTTGGAAAAGTTAATTTAAATCCCATTATATTCTGACCTTTGAACTAGTCTCTATTGAAACACGGGAATAGGAATGATTACGTTATTCCATGATTGCAACCAAACAATGGAATGAGAATGACCATTCCATAAACTTTGAAGTTAGTTTTTGACCAAATTTGAGGAATTGTTAGAAGTTTATCATGGGGAGTCTCTTATGTCAAATTTAAGTCCGTATAGTCTTAATTGTGAACATAGTGCTGGTGTGAATGTTAAATAATGCTGCATTTGGTGACGTGAAATTATTCTTGTTGAAATTGTGGATAAATTTAAAATATGTTTTTTCTCCAAGTGCAATTCTAAACCATGGATGTTTCCAAATGTATCATAAGAATAACTGGATATTTATTCTATCTATATGTGCTTTAAATTACCATTGTAGGTTAAAGTGATTCTCTCTTTATCTTGGATTTGGATGTAGATTATAGGTTGTAGTCCTGAATTCAAGATGGATCATCTTTCCTCTCAACTTGGATTTGAAATTTGTTGCATTTTTATGCTTTGTGATATTTCAGGTTCAGCTTCAAGGAATATACCTGTTGTGGGTAGCAGTTGTCATTAGTTAAATAAGATAGTGTTGGTGTAAAATTCTCATCACTAATGGTGTTTATTCCCCCCCCCCCCCCTCTTCTTTTCCAGCTTGAAGCAATGGGGTTTGATCGAGCAATTGTTCTGGAGGCGTTCTTTGCCTGTAACAAGAATGAAGAATTGGCGGCCAACTACCTTTTAGATCGCATGAATGAATTTGAGGATTGATGTTAAGAGTAACTTTGGAACAATTTCTTCTCTCTCTCTCTCACACTTTCATCCGGTATTTTCTTTCTTCCCTTTCCCTGATTTCTCTCTTTCTTATTGCATACGCTCCATCCACAACACTTCGCTTTGGGAGTCCTATAATCTTGGCTGCTCGAGAGGACATGAAATGTGAAAAAGCTACTCTTATCATGTTTTCACCCTCTTCTTTTTGTATCTCTGCCTTATTAGGATTCTATACAGTAGTTCTATACATAACACTCTTGCCAGTTTGTTTGTTTACGTGCTATGCTTGAACATTTGAGTGTTTAGGCACATGCCATTAACAAATTGCGATTATTCTCAGTGTATACACAAGTATGTTGAAATGGTAACATGGTCCCGTATTGGTCTTATGATAGTTTTTGTCACCAAATAATGTCTTAGGGCATGAATTCTTGTCTGAGACGGCACTTCCCATCGAGTTTCCTGGTCTGGCAATGTTCTTCTCTACGCGAGAACTAGAAATAGGCTTAACTTTTAGTATTGTTTCAATCAGAGTGATTGGTTTAGCCCATGGAAAAAAAAAAGTGTGATCGGTTTGAAATTTAAGTGCACACATTTAAATATATCTGTAGACAGTGTTGCAGCAATTTAAGCATAGGAAGAACTGGGCTCATCATCTAAATCCCACTTTATATTTTATCTTTTGCACTCTTTGTCATTAGGAGAAATAAGAATTGAATCTTCAACCCTAATCCTCCATTTTGGATGTAATGCTATTGTCTTCAACATTGGTATGGGCTCTCTTCTTGCTAGCTGACTTTTAAGAAGATGAAAGTTTTCTTCTTGCAAACAAAGAAATTATTATTACATGTTCTCGGGACCATGTGTCCGTTTTATTTAACTTTTTTGCTTGCATTTCATTCACAGATTGGTCGGGATCAATGTTCCAGTGACTTTGTAGTAATTTCTCAAACAAACAGGGGAGCTAAGGGACTACATGTCATTACAAACCTACCCTCACCTCCTTTAATAAAGTGGAGGTGAGCATTGCATTTTAAGCTAAAGTTTCTCGGTTTCAACCATAAACTTGGGTCATTTCAAATTGAACCACGATTAGAACATGCTCCAACCTTTACACAGTTAAATTCATTCTATATGCTCTCTCTCTCTCTCTTCTTTTCGAGTTGAAGTTTCTCTGTTTCGGCCATAAACTTGTGCTATTTTTTAGAGTACCGAATCGACAACTTGAATTTGAATTTGAATTTGAAATTAGAATGAATTTAGATTTGGCAAGCTTGAATATTAAATTGGTGCTCCCAAACATAGCATTAAGTCATTTCAAATCGAATAACCATTAGAACGTGCTCCAACCATTACACAGTTAAATTCATTTTCAGCTTCTGACCACATAAAAGATGTGGTGTCAATATGAAAGGGCACTTGCACGCTAAAATGTCTGTTTAATAATAATGATTGGTGTGAATTCTTAGGATATTTTGATCATGGCCTTTGGTTGTGGGTGAAACAGGGTTACGCAGATACTCGCTACCTATCTTACAAAATTATCCATATTTTCTATTTTCTTGAGCAATTTTAAATTTGAAAATTATCCATTAGACATATTTGGTTATAACAAATAAAAAATAAAAAATAAAAAATAAAAGGGGATTTTTTTTTTGGTTTTAAAAGTATAAATTTTGGTTTGGTAGAGATTTTATGTTTTGTTTGATAGGAATAAAGGGAGATGGGTGAAGAAAAGATAAAAAAAGAATAAATAAATTTCTTCCATCTGATAAAAAGCGGAGATAATAAATTAAAAAAAGGAGGATGGATGAATTATTATTTTTTTTTCTTTCACAATTTTTCATCCGACACAATGTGAAAAAGTTTAGCAGCACCAGAATTGTCAGAAAAGCAAGTGTGTATTTATTAAAGCAGAAGGTTACAAATATTTAATCATATTTTTTAATTAAATTATTCTATGGAAGAAAATAGTGCCAAAAACTTTAGATTACAACTTGTCACACCTATAAAGATTACAACTTTTTGACCAGACTCATATTATTTCATTGTCGGACAAAATCCACTTCATGTCTCTATCATACCCTTTCTCTCCACTAAAACCATTGATAGTTCCTTGGGGGCCCACCAATCTTTTGGTGTTATGAAAAATGTCGTTTTTTTTTATTTATTTTTTTTTATTTTTATTTTTTTGTGATCTTTACTCGGAAGAGTTCGTATTTAAACTACTAACCTCTATCAATAAAAGTGATTGAATTTTGTGGGTAAGAGTTCGTGTTTGAACTTTACACTAATTTTTTTTCTTAAACTATTAACTCTTATCATTTCTGTCATAAAAAAATAATAAAATAAAATTGAATTGCATTAGTTTATTTTATCTCGCGTTAAAAATAAAATTGAGTTTTTATGAAAAAATATATATATATATATTCAAAAAAGCAAAGACTTAGAAAATAATTATGACAAGAGTCAATGAATCAGGAATAGCAATTTGTGTTCGGAGATAGCAATCATGTCGTGTCAATATAAAAATATTTTACTAAACAATCAAATTCAAACATAATTCTGTTTAATAATTATGTCAGAAGCACATTTACCTACGAAAGAAATTTATTTTGACCAAACTCTCGTTTTATTTCATATCCCTATTATTCCCTTTTTCTCTACTGAAACCATTGATAAAGAAGTTTCCTTCGAGCCGCAACACGTTCAAATCGTTTCGTGTAATAAAAAAATGTCATTTTGTTAGAGTGGTTGAGTTGCTTTTTGCTTGTAAGAGTTTATGTTCGAGTTTTACACCCTTCTCTCCTTAAACTAGTAACTCTGGCCTATTATTCTTGCCATAAAAGTGGTTGAATTACTCTGTGTATAAGAGTTCGTGTTCGAACCTTACAAATTTCTTTCCTTAAACTATTAATTCCTATCATTCTTGCCATAAAAAAAATAATAAAATAAAATTGAGTTTTTATAAATTAAAAAAAAATTCAAAAAATCAAAGACTTGGTGAATAATTATGACAAGAGTTAATGAACTTACATTTTCATTAGGGTTAGGGGTAGCAATTCATGTTCGTAAATCGTAATTGTGTCGTGTCAATCTAAAAGTATTATATTAAATAACCCAATTCAAAAATGACCCGCTTAATAATCGTGTCAGAAACTCTCAACACTAACCGACATATTTATTAACCTATTTAATGACCTATTTAATAAAATAAAATATTATATTATTTAAATTAATAATAATACTCAATCAAACAATAATATATATATATATATATATATATATATATATATATATAAAAGTTTCAATCTAAACAAATTATAAAATAATCTCTCATTTACAAAAGAATAAATTATAAGATACAAGTTTATTTAATTATTTTAGAACTTAAATATAAATTTTTTTATGACACGTATGGCTAAATTAATATAAACGGGTTACACGGGTTGAAACCTAATACGATATAATTAACTAAACGGGTTAATCGTTATCTATTCGTTTATTACCTAAATTCGTTTAAGGTCAATCTAAACTCGCTTAATTTGTGTCATATTAACCAATCGTGTCAAACTTTATCATCCTTAATTTTTTCATCATTTAATAAAGAACAATGCTTGCCTCAGGCCGCATAAGAAGAAACTTCCTTCTTATGATGAGATGGCCCAATAAAACATCAACAAGTGTTAAAATTTTAAAATAAATTTTTTTTTTATGAGTACAGGGAATAGAAACTGATCATCCCATCTTTCTCTCGCACGCAGCTATCTATATACAAATACATATATATATATATGTGTGGGTATATATATATATATATATATATATATATATATATATATATGTCTGTCCATGGCTACCACCTCCAATGTCCGCCCATGGCCACCTAGAGTTTTAAAACCCATATCCTTTCACCAAATCCACCATATGATTAGGAAAAAATAAAAATAAAATCCACTGCACATGTATGTAATTCATTTCCTTCCATCATCATCTTCTTTTACAATAAACCCACATCTTAATTTCAATCAATCCCAACAATCATTGTTAGTTGCCAAACTCAAGACCAAGTCCTCGCCTACAATTTCTGGGTTCGTTCTTGGGATATGATACTCTCAATGGAGAGAGACGATATTGATTCCCAACATCTCTGTCAATAGAGAAAGACCCATCATGCGCCAAACCTGATCAACACCAATGTACAACCTATTTAAATTGGAACCCTTTTGATATCTATCATATTTTGATGTTATAGTTTCACAATTTCCCCTCATCTCTTTCAATTTCTTGTTGCCTCAAGAAATACTGATGACGAGATGGAAAGAGAGAGGAAGGTGGATCAGTTTTTAATTCTATGTGATCTTAATTTTTTTTCTTTTAAAACTTTAATACTTGTAGATATTTTATTGGGCCACCTCATCATAAGAAGGGAGTTTCTTCTTCTACGGCCTAAGACAAGCATTATTCTTTAATAAATAAAAGTTTGAAATCCAAAAAATTGAATATTTATACGAGGTACCCAAATAATGAATAGTAATAAAAACTCTCATTTTATCTTAATACCCAATTATGAGGAGTTTTCAAATCAAAGTATACTATTCGTCAACGGTAGACGCCATATAATAAACATCTTTTGAAATATTGTTGACTTTGATCGTCTATCTCATTGTAAACGCGCACCATCTTAGTGCATTATATATACAGACGCACATATACACAAACGAGGGTGCTAATCACAATCGTTCTGCGATTGTGAAATCTCCGTGTCTACCTCAGCAATTGATGCGTGTATATTTTTTTATTTATAATTAATTACTATTTTTTTACTAAATTATTTTTGAATCTCTCATTATATATAATTACTATACTAATCTCTTACCTTTAAAAATAAATTAAAAAATCATTTGTGAAAATTCTCTCTCCATATACCTTTACAATTTCATCTTCTTTAAAATTTTATTTTTTATAAAATTTCATATTTAAATATTTGAAGTTACTAAATTAGCGATTGTGCGGAGTGGCGGAATAGCACCCCTCCGGACAGGACATTACACACATCTTAGTATCATACCCATTTCCAATGATAACCTCCAAAAACTAAAAGAGATTAGGAAGGTGTCAGTGTCCACGTGTGATGAGCCCATCGTGGGTCCCATACTCCAATCCTAGAGTCTCACTCATAGTGGACCGCTTGCTTATCCTCATCAGTCTCTCCCACTGAACCGTGCATGTATATAGTCTTCCTCCACTTTTTGTGGGTGTGAGTGAGGGAGAGAACAGATTGACCATAAAGTCCTTATCGATTGACCAGATTTTTATGATGAAAAAACTTGAAAACGGTGAGCTCTCTACTGTATTTTGCGATAGC